GTCATAGACAATGCTGGACAACAGTGGCCTCCCTGGACTGACAGGTTAGGTGGTAGCAGAGAAGAGAAAGCCAGCAGACCCCCGCCAAAGAGGGGAGGTTGGCTGGACTGGGCGAGCAGTTTATTCTCCTAAAACTCATCCATTGCATAAATCGCTCCTCTTCCTGTGGGGAGCAGGAAGGAACTTCTGAATGAAGCGGCGCAGAAGTGAGGTCCTTGAAAGATGAGAAGGATTGAAGGGTGGCCGCTGGCCGTGCGTGGAGATGGATACAGCCTCTGAGCAGAAGGCAGGTGTAAACAGAGCCTTGGAGACGCAGTCGGGCGCACTCAGAAAACAGAGGTTGAGCTAGGCTGGGTCGTGCGTGTGGGGAGGGCACGTGGAGGCTTTTAAGTAACAGGTTAACAGGCACGATTCGATTCAGCAGGAACTGGAACGATTTTCCTGAGTACTTGTGTTAAGTTGATCAGAACTGTGCTTTCGCGAGACTGTCCATGTCACACATTAAAATTAGTGTCAGCATACTGATAATGCCATTCCAGGTGCTTTCTTTTCTATATCTCAGTATTTGTTTTATTTCTACACTATTTTTTTTTTTTTGGTGGGGAAGAGGGTATGTTATATTAGTCTGCTCAGGCTGCCAAACCACAGACAGGGGTGCTTACGGGACAGAAGTTTATTCTCTCAGTGTTCTGGAGGCTGGAAGTCCAAGGTCAAGGTGTTGCTTGCTTTTTTTTTTTTATGTGTGAGTGTGTGTGTGTGTGTGTGTGTGTGTGTATCCATGCATGTATATATGTATAGATATACATACAGAAGTCTAGTCAGTTTACAGTGTTGTGTCAATTTCTGGTGCACAGCACATGCTTCAGTCATACATGAACATACATATATTCATTTCCATATTCTTTTTCACCATAAGTTACTGTAAGATATTGAATATAGTTCCCTGTGCTCTACAAGATGGACTTGTTTGTCTATTCTATATATATATCAGTCTCTACAGATCTCAAACTCTCAATTTATCCCTTCCCACTTCCTTTCCTCCCTGTTACCATAAGTTTATTGTCTATGTCTGTGAGTCTGTTTCTGTTTTGTAAACAAGTTCGTTTGTCTTTTTTTTTTTTTTTTTTTTTTAGTATTGCACATGTAAGCGATACCATATGGTATTTTTCTCTCTCTTTCTGGCTGACTTCACTTAGAATGACAATCTCCAGGTCCATCCACGTTGCTGCAGATTCAAGGTGTTAGTTTCTGAGGCGCACGCTGTCTCTTCCTGATGTGTGGAGAGCGTCTTCTGTGTCCTCAGGTGGCAGAGAGAGAAAGGTCTCTGCTGTCTCTTCCTCTTCTTCTAAGGACACCGTCCTGTTGGGTTAGGGCCCACCCTTAGGACCGCATATAGCCCTAGCTGCCTCCTTCAAGGTCCTACCTCCAAATACAGTCACAAAATCTTGTTTGGGGAGACCAGCCGGGCCTCAACACCTGAACTGGGGAGGGGGGCACAGTTCAGTCCATAACTGGGCTTGGGGGAGCCCTGTTAGCCTTTGCAGTAGGAAGGCGTCACTGCCTCTGTCGTAAATGGCCCTTCCCCACTAGTTCTAACAGCTGGTCGGAAGTTAGGCTGTTGTTTTGGGGTTTTTTCTGTTGTCATTGCAGCCCATACTGTTGGGGTTATTTTAAAATATTATCTTCAGTTCATACTTAATATTGTAATTCACTTTTGAGGTCATATCGGGGGGCGAGAGGCTAATATTTAACCTCTTTACTACCTTGACATCTTAGTAATGGGATAAAACACTCCTCCATGACATGACCGCCCGCCGGCTCGCCGTCTTCAGCGCGGGCTGCCAGGCAGGTTACTCTGTTTCACTAGGTCGTTTTCCACAGCAGCTGCTTTTACCTAAAGAAACGCATGAAGCTTAATTTGCCAAAATTGGCCTGATGTTTGATTTACCAAATGTTGGCTGATCTGATACATTTGGAACCCGCTGAATGTGTCTTTTTCTCATTCCCCAGCTTACTATTAATTCATCTGTGTTTTCTCTTCCGCATGTTAAAGGTTTTGGTGTTTCTGTGAGACTCTCCCTCTGTCCCTGAGACGGTTCCAGATAAAATGTAGCAAAACTCATACTAAATCAGAAATACTAAATTACAGCAATAAAACAGAGCAGAGGAAGAGAAGTCTTAGTGAGAGTGCAGAGAACTTCTATGGAACTTGCCCCCATCCGCTTTGGCAAGTGTTTGGTGGGTTTGAGCCGGGGCAGGCGAGTCAGTCTAGGTGAGCTGGCGAGTCCGCACCAAGGAGTCAGGAGGCTAGAGTTCCCCTCTCAGCACTTGACCGCCTGTGCCCTGAAGCACACCGCTGGGTAATTATACTTGACCGTGTGCCTGCGTCACGGCTACCTGCCTGAGACAGGTGGGGTCACTCTTGAAGGTTAAAAACACTGAGCTGTACAGGTAAGGCGCCTCTACAAATTTAGAGAGCATATTATGATGCTATTTCGCAGCTGAGAAAGCAAAAGCACAGACGCCTGGATGGACACCCTGACAGCTCATTTCACGGCGAGGGCCAGCGGCGCGATGACTGGCAGAGGGGAGGGAGTGCCGCAGGAGAGAGGCGTGCGGGGTTTTGCGGGTGCTCCGGGCAGAGCACAGACAAGATGTGCCCAGATGTGCTCTGGAAGGACTATTTCCACCCTCTCCCTGCCCTTTTTCAGTACACACTAATCACGCCAGTAAAGGGCGCTGGAAAATATATCAGAGTTGTAATAACAATAATAATAAAACAACGACAACAACTAACATTTTTAGAGTTTACTCTGCGCCAGCCCCATTCTGAGCACCAACACGTGTCTTCCCATTTGGTCCTCACAGCCCTTTGAGACACGTAATGGTATTATCACCATTTTCCAAATGAGAAAACAGACTCAGGGAGGTTAGACAACGCCTGCAGCCAGGCTCGTCCCGGTATCGATCCTCTGCCTGTAACAATGCAGGGACGTTTCCTCTGTATTGACTTCCTCGGCCACTGTCTGCCGCCTATTCGGACCGTCGTGCCCTCCTGCAGTAGAGAGATTCTGTAAAATGTTGCTTTTGAAAATTAAGTTCCTTAGCAAAGAGGCATTGAGCACCTGCTGAATATCACACAGAGGGATTAACCCTGGAGGTGCGTGGAAGATTAAGATGTGATTTCTGCTCTCAGAGCCCAAAGTCTTGTTTGGGGAGACCAGCAGGAACCAGTGTGTTATAGGGAAATACGGCCCTGTGCACACCGGCGCGTGCTCTCCTCCCCAGCCTGAGAAGCTGGCTGAATCATCTGAATGCGGTAACAAGAGAGAAGCCTTGATCTCGGCGAGGGTCTGCCAAGGCACCCACGTGCACGCGCTCCGGAGGGTGTTTGCTAAATACACTGCTGATAAAACCAGACGGACTCCTATTGTTAGAGTCCCACCCGCTTCTGAGTAAATGTAGTGCCTCAAGGATTACATAGGATTACATGGGGCTCTACTCTGTCCCCCAGATTTGGGGACTGAGAGCCAGAGACAAAGACAGAGAGTGGAGCGACAGGGTCTACCCTACTCAGACTTTTGAAATGGCAGAGGGGAGGCAAATAGATACGGCAGGTCTCTCAGGGTGCCCTGGAGCTGAGGGGGCGGGGGCCTGCGAGTGCCGGCTAAATTCCACCAAGACGTGTTGGAGGGAGGGTGATGGAGGCGAGGGAGGAGAGGCTTCACAGAGGAGGTAGAGACTGAGCGGGAACTTGAAAGATGAGCAAGTTGGGGGCGGGGGGCAGGTGGAGGACGGAGTGAAGTAGGAAGGCGGTCCAGGGAGGCGGCAGTATTGCCAGCAGCCCAGGGCTACAGAACAGCATGACGAGTTGGAGGAATGGCAGTTGCTCTCCGTGATCCTACGGGAGATCCTT